CGTCCGTCGGGGGTGAGTGTGCCCTTGGCACGGACGTCCTTGAGGACAGGCAGGAGGAGTTCCAGTGCTTGGCCGCTGCTTCACCTCATCTCGTGTCCGTACTGCTTACCCCTGAGGGAGACCCGGATGCACTTGACATCCCCACTCCGCGCTCTTACGCGGAGGCGATAGAGGGTCCCTACTCCTCTCAGTGGCAGGCAGCTATGGACGCAGAGATGGCTTCCTGGAAGTCCACAGGCACCTACGTTGACGCTGTTCCCCCTCCTGGGGCGAACATCGTCAGTGGCATGTGGATTTTCAGGGTGAAGCGACCGCCGGGTTCTCCGCCTGTCTTCAAGGCGCGTTACGTGGCTCGTGGCTTCAGTCAGCGGCAGGGAGTTGACTACTTTCAGACCTTCTCTCCCACCCCGAAGATGACCACTCTTCGGGTACTGCTGCACGTAGCTGCTCACCGTGACTACGAGCTACACTCTCTTGACTTCAGCACTGCTTTCTTGCAGGGCAGCCTGCACGAGGAGATCTGGCTGCGTCGCCCACCTGGCTTCACTGGGTCTTTTCCTCCTGGCACCCAGTGGAGCCTACGGCGGCCAGTCTACGGTCTCCGCCAGGCACCGCGTGAGTGGCACGACACACTGAGGACTACACTTGCGGCTCTTGGGTTTGCTCCCTCTACTGCCGACCCGTCGCTGTTTCTGCGCACCGACACTTCTTTGCCGCCGTTCTACATCCTCGTGTACGTCGACGACTTGGTCTTTGCCACAGCTGACACTGCTGGACTAGCCCACGTGAAGTCCGAGCTGCAGAAGAGACACACGTGCACTGACCTGGGTGAACTGCGCAGCTACCTTGGCTTGCAGATCACTCGGGACAGAGCACGCCGCACCATTACCCTGACTCAGTCACACATGGTGCAGCAGGTCCTTCAGCGCTTCGGCTTCACGTACTCCTCGCCTCAGGCCACTCCTCTGCCTACTCGCCACTCGCTCTCAGCTCTGCCTTCGGATGAGTCCGTAGAGTCGAGTGGCCCGTACCCAGAGCTTGTTGGCTGCCTCATGTACCTGATGACCTGCACACGACCTGACCTTGCATACCCTCTTAGCATTCTTGCACGCTATGTTGCTCCTGGGAGACACAGACCGGAGCACATGGCTGCAGCGAAGAGGGTGTTGCGCTACTTGTGCAGTACGTCGGGCATGGGGCTTGTGCTTGGAGGGCAGAGTCCAGTGGTCCTTACTGGGCACGCAGACTCTTCTTGGGCTGACGACCAGGCTACGCAGCGGTCGTCACAGGGTTACACCTTCAGCCTTGGTTCCGGCTCTGTTTCGTGGCGGGCTACTCGCTCGTCTTCTGTTCTCGGCTCCAGTTGTGAGGCTGAGATCTACGCAGGAGCCATGGCTGCACAGGAGCTTCGCTGGCTCACCTACCTGCTGACTGACCTCGGAGAGTTGCCTCGTTCTCCTCCAGTGCTGTACGTAGACAACAAGGCCATGCTGGCCTTGTGTCGGGAGCAGCGACTGGAGCACAGAACGAAGCACATTGCTCTCCGCTACTTTCTTGCTCGTGAGCTGCAGCAGCGTGGTCAGCTGCGTCTTGCGTACGTGGCCTCTGAGGCCAACACTGCTGATATCTTCACCAAGGCACTTGCGCCTTGTGCCTACCTTGCCTCACTTGCTCACCTCTTGACCTTGCTTGTACTGTTACATATATATATACCTGCTCTTGTTTGTCTAGCCTTTTTTTTTATATATATGTTTACTCCTGCTTGTGAACTGGCCTTGTGGCCTTGAACTTGTGCTCGGAATGTGTGGTGACTTTGTGATCCACCCTGAGCTTGTTTTTTGCTTTGCTTTGCTTGACTGGTCTTGTGACCCCTTGTTCTCCCCCACTTTGCCTATGGGGGTGTGTCAGATTTATATGACATAGCTACTGTAGGCTAGAGTGGGGTAGCACATATGGGGTACAGTTTTCTAGGGTTTGCTTCTTGTACCCAACTTTCACTTAGTCATTCTCATTCCTGTTTTTCTTGTTTCACAAAGTTCGAAACCAGACTGAGGCCCTGTTCGATAGCGAGGGTGACCCATGCCAGAAATCATTGAGGTGACCTTGTTCCTTGGGCGGGAAACGGTTTGCGACCCCATGCGATGGTACATAATTCCCGCCAGCGCGAACGACCCCCCTGCGAGCTCCACGCTTTCCCGCCCAACTGCTTCAAGCTGGCGGGAATCTTAACGAGGTGTTTTGACACCACAGCGCGCAAAAACAGTAACTGCCGCCTAATGATTACAGCCCCTCCATGGTAAAACACCAGACCATTGTCGGGTCATTGCCAATGCTGCTTTTCAACTAAGTCGCCCCAATGCCAGACCAATGGGCTATTTAGGGATAGTCTATTCTAGCGGTTTCCCTATCTCTAACTGCCCAAAAGTAGGGTAAAGAAAAACAGAGCATGCCCGGCCTTTCCTTTGTGTAGAGAGTTGTTCAAGGTGGTCGGTTTTTTTTTGGGCCTTTTTTTTTAATCCAGCGGTCTTTTGTTTCTGTTTTTTTCGCCTTCACCAGTAAACTTTGGGGGAACCCTCGTTGTGGTACTGTCCGCTTCAATGGGCCGTTGGGGTGGAGATTTTCGACCGCCTGCGCGGTTGAGTTCGGTGAAACAAGCCGGCATTGGGGCGGCCAAATGATTACACTGCCGGCCCTGACGCCCCACTTGCAGATTATCGCGACCCTTAACCATTTGGGCGACAGGGCCATTCCAAATGGTTGCATCCTGGTAGCCCCAGGAGCTGTCGAACAGGGCCTGATATCGCACCGAAACCATTCGGAACCTGTTGGTAACGAAGCCCTAAAAAGTGCCGATGAAAGCGCCTGTAAAGCACATGAATTACAGTCAAGCCACTGCCTTGGTTTCAGACTGAAAAAGTCCCCGACTTTCAGTCTGATTTCAGCCGCGGGTCCTGAACGCGGGCTGAAAACCAGCTGAATACCGGACCCGGTTTTTGTGATGGTGTGTCTGAGTGACAGATCTCATGCCCTTTCTCCTTCAATCCTCTCTCTCTTCCTCTTCCAGCTCGCGTCTCGCCGGCGAGAACGCGAATGTGGCGGGCTTCATCGATCGCGTGCAATGCTACCTGCTGGAGAAGAACGGCGGCTCGGGCACGTCGGGCCCTTTCAATACACCGTACGCGGGCGACGCGACTACGCAGGCTGCGAACGCGGCGTCGTTCCCGCTGAGTTTCGTCGGCGGGTTGTACAACGGCACAGCGCTCGTCGAAAACGACCCGCATCTCACGGGCGCGCACGGCACACACTATGATTTGTGAAGAAATGAGGAATGGAAGAAGAGGGGTTGCACTAGCAGCAGTTGGCATACATATAGGAAACCCTAATTGGGTTGTACTCGCTATAGAGTACCCCACTGCAGGCTAGACAATTATAACATTCTGACACACCCCCATAGCCAAAGTGGGGTGTAATCAGCACAGTGAGCAAGCAGGCATAGAGCAGGAGTTCACAATAGCGAGCAAAGCTAGATTTAATCACAGCGGGCAAGTGAGGAGGAGGAGGAACTGTGGAGGGAGAGAAGATGGGAGGCAACGACTGAAGCTGCAGAGGCACGGGCACAGGAGCGGCTGACTCAGTGGCTACCGAAGCAAGGGCGACGGACTACTGGAGTAACTGGCTCCGCGGCTATAGACGAGCGGCAGGAGCAACGGACCCACTGGCGACTGGTGCAACAGGCTCACTGGCTACCGAAGCAAGGGCGACGGACTACAGGCGCTGCAGGCGACACGACAGCTACCTTCACACAACCTCCTCCAACTGCCCCACACCCTCGACACACACCCCCTGCTCAGACCCTAGCTCCACTCCCACAGCACCCCCCTTTCACACACCCCCTGCTGCACCCTAGGTTCACTCACACCCCACTCCCTAGCACCACTCCGTCGACTCCCACACACCCACCCCCCTCAGCGGCAGCTGCAGCAGTGGGAGACAGAGGAGGAGGAGGAGCAGGGGAGACCACACACCCGCCACCCCCCACTCGCCACCCCCAGACCCTAACACAGGGCAGGGCGGGACGGCGGGTAGGGAGGTTACGGGGGGGGGGGGGGGCCGACGCGCGGCCTCCCAGGGCGCCAAAACAGGCGGCAGAAGGGGCGGCGCTCGCCCCCCCCTCCAGGTCGGCCCCCCAGGGAGCCGCGACGGGCGACGGGAAAAGAGGGGGGGGGCGGTGCACGGGCCCCCGGTGCGCCGCGACAGGCGACGGAGCATGGCCGGGGCGGGGCCGGGGCAGGGTCGAGGCAGGGCCGAAAGGGGCGGCGACGGGGCCGCAAGGGGCGGCAACGGGGCCGCTGGAGGCGGCGACGGGGCCGATAGGGGCGGGGACGGGGCCGCTAGGGGCGGCGACGGGGCCGCTGGAGGCGGCGACGGGGCCGATAGGGGCGGCGACGGGGCCGCGAAGGGGCCGCGAGGGGCCTGGAAGGGCGGCGACGGGCCGCTAGGGGCAGCGACGGGGCCGCGAAGGGGCCGCGAGGGGCCTGAAAGGTCGGCGACGGGGCCGCTAGGGGCGGCGACGGGGCCGCGAAGGGGCCGCGAGGGGCCTGGAAGGGCGGCAACGGGGCCGCTAGGGGCGGCGACGGGGCCGCGAAGGGGCCTCGAGGGGCCTAGAAGGGCGGCGACGGGGCCGCTAAGGGTGGCGCGAGGGGAAGAAAAAATTCGTCGCACGCAACGTGGCGTGCAACGCACAGAGTAGCAGCGGAAGCAGTTAGGTGGGCCCACAGGCCAGGAGCGTAGATGCTCTGATAGCATGTGAAGAAATGAGGAATGGAAGAAGAGGGGTTGCACTAGCAGCAGTTGGCATACATATAGGAAACCCTAATTGGGTTGTACTCGCTATAGAGTACCCCACTGCAGGCTAGACAATTATAACATTTTGACATGATTTCACCGGGCGGCTCGACAATTCGTTCTGCCTCTTCTCCGACCGTCGATTCCACGTCAACATGCATCTGAACGGATACCAAGGCGCACCGCCCGCGCTTCCCGCGTCGGCGGAGTCGAGCGAGTCGAGCACGGAGCTGCACACGTGGATTAACGAGGTCGGCGTGGTGTGGATGACGCCTGACGGCGCGAACCACACGCTGCGCATGGTGGCGCGCAAGGGGAAGAAGCAGTAGCGCGGGGAAGACGGCTTCATCTCGCTGATCGAGATCGACGGGGCGATCACGGCGCCTCCGAGCGTCGGCGAATCGATTGCGACGGAGAGCAGGCTGGTGGTTACCAAAGTCGCGGAGGCGAAAGAGGGGCCGTTCGACGTGGATCAGTTTCGGGTGCGCGTGGCGGGGCTGGCGGAACTGGACGTGCGCGTGCGCGTGGCGCATCCGCTGCTGCAGACGCCGACCGAGGCGGAGACGCACTTCAACGTGGAGCTCTCCGACGTGGCGATGACGTCAGCCGTGCACGGCGTGCTGGGGCAGACTTTTAGGACCTCGCCGGAGCAGCTGCAGCGCGCGGTGAAGTACTCGCACTTGGCGGCGCTGCTGCAGCACCCCGTGGACGTGGATAAGGCGGAGGGCAAGGGGTTCCTGGACGGCGACGTGGAGGACTACATCTCGTCGTCCGTCGTCGCGCCCGACTGCAAATACGCCAGCTACGGCTACGGCTCTTCGTAAAGCCACCCCACCCAAGAAGACTGGCTTCATGTAGACATCGCGAAGAAAGAGGAGGTATATTTGAGTGAGAAAAAGATTGGCTGCTTTTTGTGGAAGGTTTGTCAGATGGCGTTCCCACAGTTTTCCGACACCGAAGTTTGCCCATCAGGCTCAAAAATTGTCGGGATGGTGGTCAGAGTGGGGTACTGCCCCACTCAGGACACCGCGTCCTTGCGAGCAGTTACGACCAAATTGCGACCTTCTGACCAGCACTCCCGTAAATAATCTAGTCGCACCCAATAGGCCTTCACGTCTGACAATCGGATGGACTCAGGGCGTATCTCTGGTTCCGGTCATGAGCACTGTTCCGGGCATCCGCGATTTGCGGATGACCCAAACAACATAAAACGCCACTTTGGGTTTAGGGAATGGATGCGACCCCCAAATTGCCGCGTGGGTTTTCGCGCCAAAATCACACCCGCCACAACAGTCGCATCCAATGGAGGGTTGACAAAACAGTTCGACAGATCATTAGCGACACCCACGCAAAACCACGCGACACCCACCGAAAAAAACACAATCGTCAAAATTCCCGGCCGAAGTCCCCAAATGTTGGGAGGGCGACGCGGGAAATGTTAGGCACATCGAGGTTCAGGGGGGTTAATTTGCCGAATGGTTGGGTGCAGAGGTGTAAGGCATGGGACATTGCCCGCTTGTGACACTCGACTGACGACCGCCTAAGAGATGGCAGTAAAACCAGAATCGCACGACCAGGTGATTGGTTGGGCCTGGGTCGTGCACGTCAGTCGCCCAACACCTGCACATTGACCCAAAGCTGGGGCCGCGCGCGGCTCGGCAGCCCACTTCGGGTCATGCGCAAATCGCGGATGCCCGGAACAGTGCTCATGACCCGAACCCTGAGATACGCCCTCAGCGAGATTTGGTTGGGATTTCTGACTCCCGCGTAAAACGGTGCCCGAAAAAATGAAAACAAAACATTCTGAGGCGCACTGAACCATTTCTGCTATTGAATGGCGTTGACTCAGAAACTGGGCAGCTGAACTTCGGGCAATGACACAAAATCGCGGGTGGGGTCGTAGCCCATTTCGGTAAGCGTCGTGGGCCGTCAGATGAGATCGTATACGGCTGTGGATGAACACTCGCACGACGAATTTGATGGGAAACTTGGTGGTCGAACTTCGAGCCGCATGTTGGCAAATTTCTCGAAATTTGCAAAATTGCGAGCCGCGTGGGCAGACTTTCTTGTCGGGAAACTGTGGGAACGCCCTCTCAGTTGTTTTGTGGGCTGAGTGATAAACTGGTGTTGGAATAAGGGTGGGTGGAATTGGGTGCTGCTGTTGTCCGTGCACCCAGCTCACTTCAGCCTCTTCCAGGCTAATAAGGGCTGGGACCTTTCAGTGCATCTATTTGGGCCATTGGATAAACGCTTACGTATCTGATTGTCCTAAATTCACTTGATTGCAATTTCATCTGATATCAAGGGACACGACCCTGAAATGTTGATGAATTTCGGCATATCCAGATATTACATCGACATATTTCCACGATGCGTCAACGAGTGATACAGTATGTGTCGCTGGATGAATGTCGCATATTCAGCTTGATTTGTAATGCGCCGCTCGGAACTTACACGGTAATTGACAAACGGCTCCAGCAATTTGCGGTTGTGATGCGATTTGTTTGTCACATGCTTCCTGGGAACGCATCCTAATCAGAGTCTCGGTCTCGAATGCCTGGGAACTGCAGGGATTGCTTGGTGGTGGATACAGTGAACCAGTTGTTGAAGATGCCGAGTACAGTATAGCTGCTTGTAATGGATGACACTTTAGCGAGGGAGAAGAACCAGCAGTCGGTGTACTCCACCTTCACCACAGCCCCCATCACCTGCCACCACAGAGCACGCCTCATGAACATCATTGCTCAGGTGCCTGAAACCTTTCGGGCTGAAGGCTTATGCCTGCGAGTGGGGCACTCCGTGATTGAGCCAGCTTGGATGCTGTGGACACGAATGATGAGAGGTGGACGATTGGTGATCACTGCCAACCATGCACCATGGATGAGCGCTGGAATTAAGAGTCGATCACAGCTCTACATTTTAAAGATTTTGGACTGTAGCATGTGAATGGACATTTGAGAGACGGGGCATGGCATGGTGAATCACATACACATATGCTGAAGATTCAAATGTGCAACGCGAATCTATTACAAAAGGCACTTTACGCATGATTCTGAAACATAACATCGAGTTGTGGGCATATGAGAAACTTCACATCAAAGCGGATGAGTTGGGATGGGACATAACCAAGTAATGTGCACTTGATGAGAAAATGATGGAGATAATGAAAAGTACGTACGTGCGATGTGGCCCAGTCGAGGCCGTTCTTATCCTTGAGGTCCTCGCTTCTCTTCTGTGAAACATGCGTGCATCCATTCATGCGTGCATCCATTCATGCGTGCATCCATTCATGCGTGCATCCATTCATGCGTGCATCCATTCATGCGTGCATCCATTCATGCGTGCATCCATTCATGCGTGCATCCATTCGTGCGTGCATCCATTCATGCGTGCATCCATTCATGCGTGCATCCATTCATGCGTGCATCCATTCATGCACACACACATTGCCATCGGCAGATAAAGCAACCATGCACAGTATTTTCCATACAATCCATGCATTTTGATCAGGCTTGCGGTTTGACAGCGAAGCGAATTCATTATGCACATGCATATAAAACCGTGCATACAGCCATGCATACAGCACAGTCTTCATCCCACGCAGCAATATGCAGCACACAACAACGAAGCAGCGGCGGAAAGCCGACCACGTGAAGCACAGCTCCCAGCAGATGTGACACGATGGAAGGTAACGAGCCCTTTGACACATGACTGCCCCCCATCCCACCTGCCCCACACCCCACCTGCCCCACACCCCACCTGCCCCCCATCCCACCTGCCCCACACCCCACCTGCCCCACACCCCACCTGCCCCACATCCCACCTGCCCCACACCCCACCTGGCCCACACCCCACCTGCCCCACACCCCACCTGCCCCACACCCCACCTGTTCCAGCCAGTGGTGCAGGCTGTCCTCGTCAGGCCGCAGCCCCCAGCACAGCACAGCGAGGTTGGCGGCCGCCATGGAGGGCTCGTCGTGCAGCGCAAAGAGGGACGCCAGCAGCACCAGCAGCGGCCACACCTGCGCCACGAGCACGCGCAGCAGGGCGAGCAGTGAGGTGTCATCGTCGCCGTCGTTGCTGTCTCTGAGAGGCGGTGGGGTTTGAGGAGCTGCGTGGGATGTGTGAGAGGAAAGAGGGGGGGGGGGGGGGGGGGGGTTGGGGGGTGTGAGGAGGAAAGGGGAGGGAGGGGCATAAGACGAAGTCAAGAACAGCGGACGGGGAGAGGTCAGCAAGCGAGACGAGCATGGTGCAACATGGCCGCTGCTGTTGCTGGCGATGTGAGGCGAAATGCCAGGAGAAAGAAAATGGACAGGGAGGAATGAAGAGAGGGGGAGGGAACAGCCACGAGGCAGGGCAGAGCAGAGGGGGGCGCGGCGATGCCATACATTGCTAGGGGAAGGGGATGAAGGCAGGAGGGAGGGATGAAGGTGGGGGGATTAGGGTGCAGAGGATGAAGGTGGGGGCGGCGGCTGGGGTGAGGGCAGGTTGATGAGGGGAGGGGGAAATGGGGGTGGGGCTGATGAGGGTAAAATGGATGGAGGTGGGGTACTAAGGGTGGGGGTATGAGGGCGAGGTTCAGGGTGCTCAGAAGGGAGAGGAGGGTGGCCTTGGATGGAGGGAATGGGGAGGTGGGGTGAAGGAGAGGGGTGTGAGGAGCATCATTCTCTGGCCATCACTGATGTAGGCAGTCGCACAACCACCACCACCTGGCACCGTGGCACCCCTGCATTCCAAATCCGCCTTCCAGCCCCCTGCCTTGCCACGGCCTTGCCTTGACCACAACCAAGACCACTACCGGTCGCCTCTCACCACCAACCCCCCACCAACCCCATTCCTCTCACCACCAACCCCCCATCAACCCCATTCCTCTCACCACCAACCCCCCACCAACCCCATTCCTCTCACCACCAACCCCCCACCAACCCCATTCCTCTCACCACCAACCCCATTCCTCTCACCACCAACCCCATTCCTCTCACCACCAACCCCATTCCTCTCTCTCACCACCAACCCCATTCCTCTCACCACCAACCCCATTCCTCTCACCACCACCACCCCCCTCCTTCCTCTCACCACCAACCCCCTCCTCCTCTCACCACCAACACCCCACTCTCACCGTCAGTGCAAGAAGAAGCCTTGGAGGGCAGCAGGGAAGCCACTGCTGCACATTGCACTGCAGGGGACAGCGGAATGGGCGGTGGGTGCAACAAACACCCATGTGCTATGGATTTTGACATGATGTGGAAACACCCATGTGATATGGATTTTGACATGATGTGGAAACTAGTGCGCGAAACAAGCAAGGGTGGAGATTGAGGAGGAATGGGAGGTGGGGAGATACGAGCAGAATGCTGAGGGACATGAGAGGATGGCCAAAGGCATGCCAGCATCACGCTGTTTGCACGCAGCGAGATTGGTGGAGAACATACCGCCAAGAGAAAGCCCCTTCCACAAGGCAGGGGCAGCCAATGAGCCGCTGCCACGTGGCAGAAGAGGACCGGCAGGCAGTCTGGGATTCGTTACCGCACGGCCCCGAAGGCATGTTAGGGTGAGCGTCCTAATCTGCTGCCTTATGCCAGCTGCCAAACCGCCGTGCGCCGCTTTCAACGTGGGAATGTTGGGAGCAACGGCGATGTTACAAGCCTTGGGAATGCCGGTGAGACGGTGCAGGGGAGCGAAAAGCGATTGGGAGGATTGTAGCAGTGATGGTGGCTGGCGCGGTAGCGAACGCGGCAGGGGCTGTGGCGGCAGCGATGGTGAGGGTCGCAGCGGTGCAGCGCGGATGGTCGACGACAGAGAGCCCGCCTGCACGGTAGCAGCACACACAGGAGTGCGCGCGTGCGGTTGTTGAATGGCCGCGTACTTTCATTCACGCAGTACATCATGTGCCGGGAGCACGACACACATCCCTCCTTGATGATCTACGGAATCGCATGGCGGAGTCGAGGGAGAGGAAGAGGAAGAGACGAGGCGGGGAAAACAGAAATTGGGTAGAGAAGAGAAGAGGAGAGGCGCGGGGGTGGGTCAGGGTGGGAAGGGCAGCGAACCCGGGGAGGGCACGTGGCAGAGAAGGTGAGCGTCGCACCAACTGGTGGAGCGAGCGCGACACAGCGCGACGCGCGCTCATCGTGGGGCTGCGCGATGAACCTACGGCGCAACTTCCAGCGGGCGCCCGTGCCAAGGCGGAAGAGCAGAGTCGCTGAGTTGCTGCGGGGGAGGAAGAATGCTGCGGGGGAGGAAGAATGCTGCGGGGAAGGAAGAATGCTGCTGGGAGAAGCAGGAAACGGTAAGGGGTGATTCCTTGTCGAATGCGCTCGCTAAAGTTCCATCCAGTATTATTGAATAAACTCCTGTCGGCAATTCCAATATCTGTTATATTACATCTTCCACCAAGCAAAATTTGCCACACAATCCAATCAATCTCGGTCAGAGGGTAATTTGAAACACCTCGGGAATTATAGATGGTTAATTCAAAGCATCTGTACATCCGTTGTATGAATATGATGTGTTTAGGGGTCTAATAAGGAAGCGCCATCTTTGTTGTTCACCCTTACTATTGCTGAAGCCCCCACATCACGGCTGACGTTGTCAAATGTTGTTATTTGTTATAGGCAACAGTGAGGTGCTCTTTAGTGAGTACAAAATATTTAGGGTTTCCTATTTGTACCCCTTGCTTTGCTAATCATAGCCATTCCGTTGCATTCTATTTCTGAGATGGTATCACGAGTAGGTTTAGAATCCTGCCCTAGCCCATCGCGTAGCCCGTGCGCCCTGCCCCAGCCCGTCACGTCGCCCATGCGCCCTGCCCCAGCCCGTCACGTCGCCCACGCGCCCTGCCCCAGCCCGTCACGTCGTCCGTGCGCACTACCCCTAGCCCGTGCGCGCCTGTGCGCCCTGCCCCTAGGCTGCGCGCCCCCGCAGGTAACATGCCCCGCACGTAGCGCGCCCCGCGGATATCGCGCCCCGCAGGCAGCGCGCCGCGCAGGTAGCGCGCCCCGCAGGCAGCACACCCTGCAGGCAGCGCGCCCCGCAGCGCTTTAGCGCCAGAAAATAAATTAATCAATTAAACCCTTAAAAATAAAAACAAGAGGCGACGAAGTAGTCTTAGGGTTGCGGAGCTTCATAACTTTTAAATTCCTAGCAAAATCGTACCTACCAACTTGAAGGGCTATAATGTCGCAATGTTACGGGTGCAATGAATCGAGGTAGCGAGGATTGCACTAAGTGTCAAACGAGTAAAAAATGTGAGCGAAGGCATGAGCGAACATTTTACGAGAAACATGCAAACGGTAACGCGGTGCGTGCGAGCTAGCTAGTGCTATGCTGGCAATGAGGTTCGGGCTAGTCCCGAAGCGTAGGCCGACACGGCTGGGCCAGCAGTGCGAGGTTTGGTGAAACAGTGCGCGCGAAGTCGGCGAAGCCCCGTTGGCAGTAACGGGCGAACAACGACTTCTGCTGTACGCGATGTTGCAGGGCGCGCTAAGGAATATCGAGAAAATTCCTTACACTACACCCCCCCTCAAGAAGCCCCTTCCGCTACGCGAGTACGTGTATATCGCGGAAACCCCGTCTCCTCAGGTACACTTGCAGGGCAGGGTGGATTTCGATGTTGGTCAGGGGCACCCAGCTATCCTCACTTGGCGTGCGGTCCATCCAGCGAACGAGGATCTCAATCCTCCTGATTCCCGTGGGGTGTCGAATTCGATGGCTCAGGATTTTTTCGGGCTCGATGATCGGCTCCGATGCAGGGCGAGTCATGGATGGCGGGCGGTGACGAGGCAGTTGGCTTGTGGTTGGGATGTATAGGCGAAGAAGGCAGACGTGGAATGAAGGGCTGATGTACCAGTCGGTTGGTAACAGTAAGTGTGCTGTGACTGGGGTAATCATGTGGCTGATTTGGAATGGTCCACAGTAACGCGGTCGTAATTTCGGTATGACGGGCAGTCTTAAGTTCTGTGTGTCGAGCAGTACGTAGTCTCCTGACTGATACGTGACTGGGCGGCGGTGGCGGTGAGCGTTGCGCTTAGCGATGACATTTGGTTTTTTAATTGCTTCGGCGGCTCTGGTGCGGGCAGCTTGCAGAATCTCGGCGAATTGTTGTGCGCGTGGCGTTGGGTTGTCCGGACTCGGCGTCATGGGCACTGTAGGGTTTTGCCCGTAGTTCAGGTAGAACGGGGACTGCTGCGTCGTCGCTGACGTGGCGTTGTTGTACGCGAACTCAATCAGCGGCAACTGCTGCTCCCAAGTTGTCGAGTCGTCGCAGTGGGTTGGTTTGGGCGAGTAGGATGGCGTGGAGTTGGGCGGTGGGGCTTGTGAGTGCGTCGGCTATGTTGGATGCACTTTTTTTGTACATGACTGTGTAGTGGAAGTTGGACTCCAGGTAGTCCAACCAGCGGATCTGTCGCGGGTTGAGATTCAGTTGGGCACGAAGGTACTGTAGAGATCGGTGGTCTGTCCGTACTGTCACGTCTGCTCCCGTAAGGTAACATCGCCATACCTTGAACGCGTGCACGATCAAAAGCATCTCGCGGTCGTGTATCGGATAGTTGCGCTCAGGCGGGTGAAGCTTGCGGGACTCGTGCGCGATTGGCTGGAGGCCGTTCCTGAATTCCTGCAACAGTACTGTTCCCATGGCGATGTCGCTAGCGTCGGTGACGAGCTCGAACGAACGGTGCGGATCTGCGATGTGAAGCACGGGCGGCGAGCACAAAATTTGTTTGAGGGCCGAGAAGACAGCTTGCTCTTTCTCCCCCCACGTGTACGCAACCCCCTTCCTCAGTAGGTCGATCAACGGGGCAGTCAACTTCGCCATGTTGGGGACGAACCGGCGCACGTAGTTGACGAACCCCAAAAAACTCTGCAAATCGGTCAAGTTTGTCGGCGCGTGCCATGCTTGAATCGTCGCGATTTTTTTCGGGTCTACCTCCACTCCTTCAGCTGAAATGATGTGTCCCAAAAACTCCAGTTGGTCCTGTAAAAACTCACACTTAGAAGCTTTGGTCAGTAGGCGGTTCTCACTCAGTATCTTAAAAACTGCTTCGATGTCCTGTAAGTGCTGTGCTCTGTCGGGGCTGTAAATCAGTATGTCGTCGAGGTATACATTGACGCACTAATTAAAAAGCGGGCGGAAGGCTTCATTCATTGTCATTTGAAAAGTGGCGGGGGCGTTGGTCAGTCCGAAAGGCATAACTGTGTATTCGAAGGATCCGTAGCGTGTTCGGAAAGCTGTCTTGGGGCAATCGGGTGGGTTGACGCGAATCTGGTGGTAACCCCCTCTAAGGTCAATTTTCAAGAAAACCCGGGCTGTGCGCAGTTGGTCGATCAGTTCGTCGTCTCGCGGGATGGGGTAATGGGACTTGATGGTAACCTTGTTCAGTGCTCGGTAGTCTATGCACATGCGAGAACCCCCGTCCTTCTTCGGCGTGAACAGTATCGGTGCTGCGAAAGGTGACGAACTCGGGCGAATGAATTATTTTTCGAGCAGGTAATCTAGCTGCTTCCTCAGTTCGTCCAGTTTGGGTTGGGTCAGTTGGAACTGTCGCTGTACTGTCGGCTGTGCCCCCGGTTCTAATTCAATCATGTGGTCGTGCGGTCGCTGAGGTAGCAGTCCCGTCGCAGATCGTCCGGAAAGATTTCACTGTACTGCTTCAGGAGTGCTGCCAGGTCATCCGGTACGTTGGCTAGCAGTTTCTGTAAATCCCCCCCTTTGTCTACTGCCTCGGCTTCCCGAATGTCGACTGCGTACACGTCAGCTCCTGCCGCTACTGCGCGTTTTCACTTTGTTTGACTTTCGAGGTCTTGACTGGTTTCGCGTCCAGTTAGGATGAGGTGGCACGCGGGCAAATTAACGTGCGAAAAGCTATGTGCAGCGTCAGACATTCGCCCTCACGCGATTCAAATTCAGGACGCTATAAAATGTCGACTCGATTGAACTTACTGTTAGAACTATATTGTAGGCTGTAGTGGGGTAGACAATATGGGGTACAACTCTTTTAGGTTTTCATACTTGTACCCACCTGCTTGCTAGTTCATTCATTCCTCGTTATTATTCTCACATGGTATCAGAGCAGAATCGTTCCTAGGGCCCACCGAACGTTTCGCCCTGCCCTAACTGGATATTATTTTTTAGCTGCCCCTGCAACCGCGCTGCCCTTGCAGCCCGCGTGCTGCCTCTGTGACCGTGCTGCCCCTGCAGCCGTGCCTGACCATGCAGCCCGTGGGCGCTGCCTCTGCAGCCCGCGCGCCGCCCGGTCGAGCCGCGTGTCGCCCCTGCAGCCCGTGGGCGCTGCCTCTGCAGCCCGCGCACCGCCCTGCTAAGCCGCGCGTGTCGCGGCGCCCCCTGGGCGCCATCCCTGCTCGTCGCGGCGCCCCCTGGGCGCCGTCCCTGCTCGTCGCAGCGCCCCCGGGGCGTCGCCCCTGCTCGTCGCGGCGCCCCCTGCAGCAGCTGCCTCGGAGCCCCCTGCAGCAGTCGCGGCCCCGCCCTGCAGCAGTTGCCGCGGAGCCCCCTGCCGCCGTCGCGGCCCCGCCCTACAGCAGCTGCCGCGGAGCCGCCTGCAGCAGTCGCGGCCCCGCCCTGCAGCTGCTGCTGCGGAGCCCCCTGCCGCCGTCGCGGCCCCGCCCTGCTGCAGCTGCCGCGGAGCCGCCTGCAGCAGTCGCGGCCCCGCCCTGCAGCAGCTGCCGCGGAGCCCCTTGCCGCTGTTGCGGCCCCGCCCTGCAGCTGACGCGGCCCCGCCGTCGCCGCCGTCGTGCGCCTACCCTGCTCGCCCTGCGAGCGCCTGCCCTTCCCGCCACTGGTGAGCACTTGCCCTACCTGCGCTTCCCGCGCGCCTGCCTTACTAGCACGCTGCCGCACCGGCCTGCCTGCCGCGCCTGCCTGCTAGCCGAGCCGCGCCGCCCAGCTGAGCCGAGCCGCTCAGCGGCGCCGAGCCGCCGAGCCGAGCCGTGTCGTGCTGCCGGGCTGTGCAGCCCTGCTCTACTGAGCCACACTGCCTTGCCCGTGCTGCTACTGTTGTTTCTGCTACTACTGCTACTGCTACTGCTGCTCCTGGCGGTGGCCAGATGCAGCTCCAGCGAAGTCCGCGTGAGTCCATCACGCCCCAGCAGCTTCGTGAGTGGTACGCTAGTTGGGGTTGTAGGGGTGGCCGCGCTGCCACTGCTGCTACTGCTGCTACTGCTGTTACTGCTGCTACTGCTACTACCACTGCTACTGCTGCTACTGCTGCTACTGCTGTTACTGCTGCTACTG